AGCTGGAAGCTGATCGGCTTCTATTAATGTCCATCCCGATCCAGCAGAAGGAAAAGTCTTTTCTTCTTGGGTCCCCTCAGCCTGCAGGGACCCAGGTTGACAGACGGACAGTGAAACCAAGCAGAGCATCCGCTGTCACTCACAGGCAAATCCAAGAGCGTCTTGTTGTCACGCAGATGAAAGTCTGAGCTTCTGCAGCAGCTGAATGATTTCATTCCTCTCAGCGTGGACTGGGTTCATTTCTTCCTCATTTTAGACGTTGTTATTCCAGAGCTTTAGGAACAAAATCAGCTCTGTTTGTCAGATGGAAATACAATCACCTGCTGTTCCACGAGGCAGAACTATGTCTTAATGAATTGCTGCCTTATTTCAGCACATTTAAATTCATGTTTTCTGGGCTCTAATAAGCACATAATGTCTGTCCACAGCTGCAGGACTGAGACCTTCCTGCATGGAGCTACATGTTCTCCCAATACAATACGGATGCACCGATGCCGATACTGGTATCGGCATCTGGCCCGATACCACGTGTTTGTACTCGTACTTGTATCCGTAAATGTGTACCGATACTACAGGGCCGGATACTAGCATACATTTGAGGCAGCGAAGAAGACCGCAGTGTGACGTCAAGAACCCACCAGTCAGAGTATAGAGAAGGAGGGAGCGAACACAAAAAGAGAGTTAGCCGGTTAGCCATGTTCGCTATTTGGAAATATTTCCAAGTGAACGAGGACAACAAAAGTAAGGCTGTTTGCAAAATATGTAAATCAAAGTTTTCAAGGGGAGGAACAAACCCTAATAGTTACAACACAAGTAACCTAATAAAACAGTATTTCTGTTTGAGCCGAATGAAAATAAAAAAATTTTAAATTAATTCTGAGGAGTTAATGGCACTTAATATTACTCGGTATCGGTACTCAGTATCGGCAAGTACTGAAGTTGAAGTACTTGTAATCGTACTTGGTTTGAAGAAATCTGGTATCGGCACATCCCTACTGGCTACCTGTCTCTTCCCCAACGAACACTGAAGATGGATGCCATCTTCCCTGTAACCATGAAAGGATGGGAGAGACAGATGCTGTTTTCCTACTATGTGTAAATGCATCTTAAGCAAACTCCACTGTAGCTAGCAGCTCATAGTTGTTTGTTATTTTTGTTGCATCACATCAGGGGGTGAAGCTTGCTGGCAGCTAATCAGCAATATGGTGTAGCTTGAGTCTGAGAATATAAAAGAGGAGAAAACTACAGTGGTTTTATTGTTAGGTATAACCCATGTGCAAAAGATCAAGGTGCAAAAGGCTGCGGGTTCAGATGGCATCAGCTCCAGGCTTCTGTTGTTGTGGAGATGAACCTTATGGCATTTTGTGCTACATGTTAAAATTAAGCCTGAGGCTACGAGAAGAACCACAGCTTTGGAAGACCTCTGTTTGCCAAAGATAAAACATCCAAAAGACCTCAGCAGCTACAGGCCGGTGACACACCTGATGAAGACCCTCTAATGGTTGGTCTTACACCACCTACGCCCCCTGGTGAAGACTTTGTGGAGTAAAAATTGTTGAGATATGTCTGTTCTTAGCCTCA